GCGGTAGTAGTTGACGAGACCGAGAAACGACTGCACGTCAGAGACGCATGCGAGCGGCGGCCACTCGACCACAGACTTGACCTTGGCGGGGTCGACTTCGATTCCTCTTCCTGAGACAACGTGTCCCAGGAACGGGACTTGATTCTTGAAGAACTCACACTTGGACAGTTTGGCATACAACTTGTGCTCGCGTAGCTTGGCCAGCACGCGGGCGACATGACCTTCATGGGTCGCTTCATCCTTGCTGTACACAAGGATATCATCCAGGTACACGATGACAGAGTTGTCGAGCTCTTGGCGGAACACATCGTTCATCAGCTGCATGAACGTGGCAGGTGCGTTCGTCAATCCGAACGGCAGCACTAGGAACTCGTACAGTCCGTAGCGAGTCCTGAAGGCGGTCTTGTGGACATCATCCTCGTGGATGCGGATCTGATGGTAGCCTGAGCGGAGGTCTATCTTGCTAAAGACCTTTGCTCCACTCAGACGATCCATCAACTCGTCGATCCTGGGCAACGGGTAGGTGTTCTTGATGGTCTGTTTGTTTAGTGCGCGATAGTCGACGCACATCCTGAGATCACCTTCTTTCTTCTTGACAAAGAGCACTGGTGCACCATACGGTGACTGGCTCGGGCGGATGAACCCATGGGCGAGGAGGTCATCCAACTGGCGCTTGAGTTCGTCCATCTCCGTCAGCGACAGTTGGTACGTCGGTCTTGACGGAGGCGACGAGCCTGGTTCGATGTCGATGCGATGATCGACGGTGCGTTGGGGTGGCAGGCATTGTGGCAACTGGTCGGGGAATACGTCCTTGTACTCGTCGAGCAGCTTGGTCACCACAGGCGGGGGACCGGGACCGGCTTGGTCGGTGTCGTCGACCTCACGCACGACACAGAGGAACGACGTGTCCTTCTTGATCAGCCTCTTGAATTGCATGGCTGAGAGGAGAGGTGGCATGTTGGGTGAGGCCATGCCCTGCAGGACAATGTCAGGGCCAACACGGACAGTGCGGCCTTTCCAGTCGACGACTGGAGTCGGCTCGGCACGAGCAAGCCAGCTCATGCCGAGGATGGCATCGAACTTGGTGTCGATCACTTGGAACAACAGGACAGGATGGTACTTGGGATGGAGGGCCACTCGCAGGACCACTTGGTGTGTGCACTGCTGCACACGATCGTCTGCAAGCGCCACACTCATCGGCGACTTCTTCTTGGTTGCATGTATGTTGAGCTCCTGGAGCAAGCGTCTGCTGACAAAGTTGCAGCTTGCTCCAGAGTCCACCATCATTCGGACGGTGTGACCTTGGACGGTGGCAGGGAGGTACAGCAGGGACTCTTCATGGTCCTCCTGCACAGCCTCCTGCACCATGACTTGACTTGGGGGAACGGGCGACACTTGGTCTTGGTTGGCTTCATCACGGCCACTCGGACATTTTGGATAGGGTTCGGCCATTGCGGGGGCCTGCGGCGTCAGCACGCCATTGCACACGACGTCCACGGCTTGCGGACACATGTCGGAAGCATCCGACACACACGACTTGACAGGGGTGAGGGCACAGGCGGTCCTGTCCCTCAAGGGTTCTTGATTTTCTTTTTTGTTTTGGTTTTCAATTTTGGTTTTCTCTTCACGTTCGTGGAGAGGCAGGCGGCTTGCGCCACCATGCACCTCTCGCACGACGCACAACACTTGGTTTGTTTCTCCTTCGGGGGAGGGGGCGAGGTGAACTTCCTCTGGAGACGCGTGGACTGCATTGAGCAATCCACGGCGTTGGTCTCCTACTAGGGCTCCAGAGCCACCTAGTAGGGTCGGCCGTTTCCCGACTTCATGGGGCACTCCTTGGCCTGGTGTCCCGGTCGGTGACAGAAGAAGCAGGAACCATGGCGGAGGTCCTCCTGCTTCTGTCTGTCCTTGGGGGAGACAGTGGCAGCTTGCTGGAACCGGGAGCGGGGAGGGCCACGAGCCTCCATGGCGTTGACGTCAACGTCCATGGGCTCAGGCATGGGTCTTGCGGGCGGGGCCGGGCGAGGCGGACGGGCTGGGACGTGATGAGACCGATGGCCGCCTGCCAGCTGCGGGTAGAACTGGCGGCCATGGTACTGGACGTTGTCGAGGTTCTCGGCAACGTCCATCATCACGTCCAGGGACTTGCGGGCATCAGGGTTGCTGGCGATGTACTCTCTGATCTTGGGCTTGAGGCCCTTCTGGAAGAGGTACATCGCATCAGCAGAGCCCAGCTCCTCAATCTGGGAGGAGAGGTCTTCAAACTCCTCGATGTAGCGGGTCACAGAACCACGCTGCACGAGAGAGTATAGCTTGTCACGGGCAATGAGTTCAGCATTGGGGCTGCCGAAGCGGCGACGGAGGCGGTCCTTGAAGTCGTCAAACACACCTTCGCTCTGCTCGTCGAACCCTTGGCGGCGGTACCAACGGTACGCCTGGTCCTTTAAGCAGAGCTTGGCGGCGACGATGTGGTGGGTGGGGGCGACTTGGGCAGCATCGAGGTAGTCCTCGAGTTGCTGCAGCCAGTCCTCCACCGAGGAGGAGCGGCTCTTCCCAGTAAACACTGGGGCACGGAAGGTCTTGAGGAAGGCTTCCGGAAGTGGGCGGGGGTTGCTCATGGCAGGGGCAGGCTCCAGGGACAGAGAGGAGAGTCGGTCGGCAAGAGAGGCGGGATCCAGCTTGAGGATCTAGAAAGAGGACAAACAGGACGAAAACAAGACGAGGATTTCCGATGCTACCATGTAACGTCCACTACTGGGACGTTGGGGCAAGACGGGGAGGGAGGGGGTACAAGACAAGACAGGACGGGGCAGAACAGGGCGGTGCTAGGCTACTCTAGCGGACGGGTGAGCTCGGGGAGCACTTACGTTTATTCACGATAAAACCGAACTCCAGACAAACGGGGGGAACGGGGGCAACCCGCAGGTATACCCTGCGGTGGCCTGCCTGCGGTGCGTGAAAACGCAAAGCGCAGCACAGGTCACGACCCACTGCGCCGCGCAGTACGCGCAGTACGCGCAGCACAGCGTCGGAGATACCATCTCCTACACAATTAGGCTTTCTACATACTATGCTTCGTATTTTATCAACTTCAGATCTCTATATTGCATTCATGCTGCCCCTGTTTGCTCTGGAGCCCCATTTCCATTGTGTTTGTATTGTCCGTCTATTCGAGATTTCATCCTGCATGAAGTTCTATTCATATTTCTCTGACTTATTGTCACTTATCTGGCAATCCCCCACTCGTTTCCTTACTTAGACTCCTATCGTCGTTGTTTACAATATTCTGATACAGTATCCACTGATTTCATAAGGCTTCTCTTATGTGTATCTATCGTATTTTCCAGGATCATCATGATAGCTGTGCAATCAAATTCCTGAGCTCTTCCATTTATTCCTGAATGCAAATTTCCCCAAAAGTACAACATGGAAACCCTACCCCCAAAATCCTTGCAAGGTTTTGGGTTAGCATATATTACCTTTGATATCCCAATGTGTGAAACAACTCACCCTCGTTATCTCTAGATTCTGAGCCGCACTTTCGGAGTTTCCCTATCTCCAGCATTCTACTCTACTTCAGGAACCATTTGTTTGGACTCGAAAGCCAAATCGTGTGACGCGCCATTCATTACCACGTGCAGTATCAGGTCGGAGCTTGAATAGTTCTCTGGAATGCGAGAAGAAAGCGCTCAGCGCTGAACCGAATAGACCACCTATCTTTCCTTCTGAATGAACGTTCTTGAGTCATCATCCCAAAAAATGATTATCAATCATCTTGATGACCATAGTTCCAGTCAGATTATTCCACTCTGGCCCTGTCCTGCTCTCATGTCCATTTACTGACACTACACGAAGCTATTGTGCACCATTTTCACCCTTCTGATCGGTTTATATATGTGGTGTTCTCCTCTTGATCATGTGCATAATTTTTTTTTGTGGAATTGATATTTTGATCATTCATTTTTGAGCACATCTCAGGGCTTATTCAAGCAATTGACATTCCAGTTTGTCACCCTGTCAATACGACTGTGAAGTTGTGTTTTGATGTATCGGGAATCGTTCGCATGCGGAACAGTCAATTTTCACTGCAAGTCCCTGTACCCTGAATCCAGTCCTTCACGACTTCCAGATTATGTTACCATTCGGTATTAACATGGAAACGGACTGGAGCCCATCGATATGCAATGCTTGATTTTACCTGAATGTTCGTATTACTCCGATAATTTTTGTGAGATCACAGGATATCAATCTGATCCATTTCAATCACTCCATCACACATAAAAATGCCAAATATGGCCATTTTATGATATATTGTTCCTGAATATCTGCCGCTGGGATCTGCAAATATCTGAACTTGAAACATCAATCACAACCCCGGGTTTCAATGCCAGCGATTCAGCTCTTCCAGAACGAAACTAGGCAGCTGTGCCGTCATCACCCCCCACATCAGCCACTCCCACGTATTGGTTTAGGGAACGCAGTCTCAAATATCCCCGTCTCCATTGTGGAGATGATCAATTGCATCCATCTTCGGAAGCGGCTGTCTTGTTCTCAATCAAGACCATCTTAACATCACTCTCGGTTCCCGACCTCATAATAGTCGGGTCGAACGGGTCGCTCGTTGTGTTTCCCTTCGCTTAGTCGTATTGGCTATGGCTGAGCTATTAATGATTTGTAACCCAGGCTCTGCTTGGATCTGTTGCATTTTCCATCTCTCTCTTCCACAATTGTTTCCAAAAGCATGCACAACCGTCAGTCTCCATCGGCACAGGTCATGATCGATGTTCGTTTTCGGAGCCCACAAATCATGGATATTCACTACTAAACAAGGGGGCTTTTGCTTTGAATATGCTGCCATTCGTCAGCAGGTGTTCTGTTGGTTCATGTATGCGCTGGGAAGATACTATCATTTTCAATTCCGATCCATTGCCGATCGTACCCTTGTATTCAGGACGATGCAGCCCACAGCAAACCTTGGGTCGTATCGAGCCGCGGCGCAACTCTCACGCGATTGAGTGAGTGGAGCCCTGGGATTCTTGAAAAACATTTATCGGCTTTCGCAATAAACTGTCAATTCTGCGGCATCTGGGGTTTCGTCGGACAGGCTCCACAGTTTGGATTTCTCGAGATTGTGCCAACGAGTTCAAAGGGCATTCATTTCTGCGGCCAATGCCTGTGCCTGTGGAGGGAGGTCGTTGAGAGGATCCGCGCAGGCGGCCATAAATCTGCTATAATGATCGATCGACTCGGGTCTCCTCAGTGGGCTCCTAGAGTCCAATCCATTGATCATCGCCAACAACGAAAGTGCCATTTCTCGTGGATAGGGCGGCTCTGTTCGTTCAAGTAGCTATTGGAGGTATCGATTATATCAGCCCGACAGTTTCGGCAGAAAGTTTGGACATCATGCATGTTAAACGGTTTTGCACTTCTCTGTGAGTGGGTGGGCAGTCTCCCAAGCCAATTTTGAGCAGCGCAACGCCCAGTCATAGTGGCATTGGTGGCAAGATTTTGTCCGTCCATCGAATGACTCACTTACCTTCTTGATAAAGTATGTCATCACGGTCTCATCAATTTCCTCTGATTGTTTTTCAAAATACTCGATAATCGGAGATTGATAGCCAGCACCAGCCATGAAAAGAACTCGGTCAACGAAGGCATCCTTGAACCTTGAGGTTATCAATGGATCTTTTCCATCGAAGCTCTTGCGAAGATTTTGAGTCCAGATATCAAAGATGCGAGGACGCTGGAATGGCCTCAATATTGTCGCCTGGAGAACCGTTCAAATACCGAATCAGACCATACGCACGGACAACGACAGCGCAAACTTTTTTTAAGTAGCATCATTCAGCCCTCATGAATGATCAGCTCGTTTCTCAGGCCCACCTCGTCTAACAAATAGAAAATGAGAGGCGTGTCACCCATCATGATATCCGACTCGATGAAACCAGTATCTTCCAGCATCTTCGAAATCCAATGTAGCAATGCCATCGATGTTAACGGATGTCTGCAGGTACATGTGTTTGATCAGCCAATTGACATTAGTGCCTTTCGTTCAAAACCCAGTTGAGCTTCCTAAATCCTCTCTCGCAACTTACTCGAGAGCTTGTAGAAGTTCTGGAAATGCATTTTTAACCTCGATGGTGCTAGTAACGCGTTCAAGTAATCCCCCAAGTTCAAGTATTCGCTCCTTCATTGGTTCCACCCTACTTGTATCGAGCTGCCGTCCGCGTCGAATTAAGATAGAGCGATAATGAGGGACTGCCTCTCTCCAATTGTTGGCTCGAAGCCACGTCTTTGGTCGGATCAACAATGCCGTCGCGCACTCACCGATCCGTCTGGGAGTAGAATGGCACTCGAGATAAATGCCAATATGAAAGCTTTTTCGCTGGCGTTGGGAACATCGGATATCCGCATTTCTCCGAAAAGATGTATAACCAGCGCATCTATCAATAGATTCGCTCTCGGTGTCAGAAGCTTCACATCTCCCCAAAAGCCTACGAACGGTGCCAGTACACCTGTCGGGGTTGACTTGGCCCCTTGAGATCTCACCACCAAAGAGTCGGCTTTTATACTTACCCATAAATTCTGCCCGCCGTACCAGATCCAAGCTCGGGGAAGCCGATGAGCTGACATAGAGCTCAGAAAACTGGCAATCCGTGTTACTATGGGCCCGAATATCGAGCCAACATCGACCCCAAAAGTGTACGAGTCCGGTTTCCCGCTCAATGCTCACCCAACTCGCGCATCCCGTTTCGGACTACTCCTCCGAAGCACTCGAACGGCACTCGAATGGCACTCGAGAAATGAACTAGTTGGATGATTCGAAGCCCATCACGAACGTACCTTCTGCATATCTCCCTGTGACAACCGACCTGACGTCTCCACATTCGATATAAACAGTCCTACCTCTCTGGAAAGAGGGCCGATGCAATTCGCTGTTTCTCGGACGACTTTCGACCTTGGACCATCCAATTAAAAAAAAAATTACCATAATCAGCTCCATTTGACAGACTCATGGCCCGCACTGTCCGGAACCAATGTGGGCTCGTCTCAGCGTTGCGGGTCTCACCTGTTGCTATATATCATGTGAACATGCTCCTCCAACATTTCGGAGACGCGCGAGAGTGTTGTGTGGCCTTCAGTGCCGAGAGCTATCGCCCGATGGAGAAGAGCCTGTGCAATAATGTAGTTGAACTCGCTTGCTGAGCACATGGGCTGAGCGTCACCGTCCATACCGTGAGAATTGCGTCAGTAACTTATCAGGATCCTCGAGCCCTTTCTATGTCAATTGGATTCAGAATCATGAGCTTGAAGCAATACGAAGTATACGATTGGCGCAATACTGATAAGACCGTCGGTACATCGACAGGTCACCGGATGTGAGGCCCTTGCTTCATACACCCATACCAGCAGCATCTCGTTCACGAAGCTTTCCAGTTGGGCGGGCGGCTGGCTGGGAAGCTCTCGCGCGATCTCGACAAGTCGAGAGCAAAACTCGGCGAGGTGAAGGACGACCTGATGCCGATGTCGATGAGAATGATGGGAAGGCAGCAAAGCTCGATCTCATTAGCGAATGCATGTTTGCTCTCGATATGGCGTCGATCCTGGCCCCCAATGCATAGCAGGAATGCTCCTGTCCGCGTATACAGGGACTGCCAGGCGCCGGCTGCGAGTTGTCTGGGCGCAGCATCCGAGCCATCAGAACTCGCCCGATAAGCTATTCGCCGACTCACCATGTTGGCCTGCGGCTCAATGTCCTCCTCGGGTCTGCCGGTAGCCAGCGCAGACCCCTCCAATGCCGATGTGGCCATGTGTGTCGGGATGATCGATCTGGGCAGAGCCGCTCGCGGTGTATGGTGGTGCTGTGGGGATCGGACTGGCCGTTCCCGTCCTGGATCCGGCGATTCTGGTCAGAGCACTTTCGGCCGTGGATGCTGCTGATCAGCGTGAGGCCGCAGATCCAGACGCTCCTTGCGATCACCAAGGAGCTCCGCCTGATGGCTCGTGGCACGCTCTTAATATGGCCCCTTTTGGAGCGGTCTTCCTGAACCCCGCCCGGCATCCTGCAAGAAAAAACCGCTTGGCTGTCCTTCAAGCACCCTGGATTCATCTCCACCAGCCCTCTCGGCCACGGCCTGCAGTATTCGCAAGCAAGCTCTGCCGTCTGTCCTCGGGCTCTCATCGCAGCGACTACCCGTCAGCGCCACGCTTCAGCACCCTGCCGACTTCCGCAACGATCCTTGGCGACTGCACACATGCGCGACATCAGCATCTTCTCAGGCACCTCGCACCCGGCCCTTGCAGAAAAGATCTGTCAGAAGCTAGGCATACCCGTGTCGAGGTGTAAGCTCTCAAAGTTTTCGAATCAAGAGACCAACGTTGAAATCTCCGAATCTGTGCGCGATACCGATGTCTATATTATCCAGTCTGGATGCGGGCACGTCAATGATAACTTCATGGAGCTCCTCATTATGATCGCTGCGTGCCGAACCGCTTCAGCACGGTAAGTCTGGCGCCCCTCCACTCGTTATTCCATCGCCGCGGACGCGCCTCTGTCTTGGCAGTATTATGCCGATATCGCATCGTGGCCAACGCGCCGTTTGAGCAAACCCTGCGGCCGCGGCTCTTCCCGAACTGCTGGAGGTTTATGGCCACTGCTTGGGCCTCCTGGCTCCGATCGCGGCTCACACAAGTGGTGCCCTTTATATTCATTGGGTTTCTGGTTCTCTAGAAAAGTCACCGCGGTTATTCCGTGCTTCCCCTATGCCCGTCAGCCCGAAACGCCTTATAAGCGGAGCGGTGGCATCAGTGCGCGTGTGTCCCCTGGAGATGCCGAGCGGCTTTCAAGCATGACGGGCGGCCATGCTCCACTTTCGGAAATTGTCGGCACGGTCCACAAGGATGAAATCGTCGTCGACCACGATCTCTCATATTCGAGTCCCCAGCTCTTTCAAACGAGATCATCGTCTGTCCAAAGCCTCGACTATTCATTGAATCCCGCAGCCTTTGACTGGGGTAGCTCGTCGACAAACGGTGGATACAAACACTGGACTGTTCGGTCTGGAACGTTGATTGCAAATCTGCTTGTCGCTGCCGGTAAGCTTTTGCGGCTCGATCTGGAAACGCCTCTGTACTCTGTCGAAAGCCGCTGCTTGCCGGCTCTCTTCTTGTCGTATCCCCAAGCCAGCCCTACCGACCAAGCGTCTATTATGCTGCGTGAAGCTCTTCAATGCCAAGCCCCCGCGGCTTTGGCGCCGCCCCTCCTCGAACGTACTCAAAACAGCCCGCTGATCATCGCAACTTTGATGTGTGCATCAACATCCAGGCGCCGATCATATCATCACCATGGACCTGCACGATCCTCAATTCCAAGGCTTCTTCGATATCCCTGTGGATAACCTTGTCAGCCAGCCTCTGGTTGTCAAGTACATCAAAGAGCATATCCCCGACTACCGATCGGCTGTAATTGTATCGCCTGATGCAGGCGGCGCCAAACGGTAAAGTATGTCCACGGATTCAGCCGTGTCGACCTGATCAAAATACCGACGCACCGAATCCGCCAGCGTCCTATATAGACCCAACCTGAGTTTGGAAGTATGCAGCGGCCCGCCTGACAGACTCTCATCCCGACCATACTTGCCTATAGAGCCACAATTGTAGCGGACAAACTCGGCATGGATTTCGCCCTGATCCACAAGGAGCGACGCCATGCTGCCAGCTCGGCTACCGATATGATGCTTGTCGGTGATGTCAAGGACAAAGTTTGCATCCTCATTGACGACATTGCCGACACCTCTTATACCATGACGAAAGCCGCGGCCCTCTTGGTAGAAAAAGGAGCAACGAAGATATACGCTGTGATTACCCATGGTATCATGTCCGGTAATGCCATCAGCCGCATCCAAGAATCACCGATCGACGAGGTCATTGTCAGCAACACTGTCCCACAGGCGACGCACATGGAACAATCTTCCAAGATCAGAGAGTTTGATGTGGCTGCCATTTTCGCCGAAGCCATTCGTCGTATTCATAACGGCGAGAGTGTGTCATTCTTGTTCGAACAAGTTCCATACTAGATTTCTCCCGCTCCGGCTGCGTGGATCAGCATCCGAGGCCTGAAAACATGTCTCGAACCGAGAAGCGCGGCTCCTCAGAAGTGTGGAAGTCTTGTATCCGACGAAATGTAATCTGTTCATATTTTGATCAACGCTCACGCGCTCGATGAGTTCCTTCCAAAGATCCTGGGGTCTAGGACCTCGGGGTGTATTGTGGCGGCTCTTCGGTGGACCCAACCACGGGTATTCATTTGCTTCGTGATCACAACAGTGCCCACCACCCATGGCTGCGGATATATGTCGTGGAAAGCGCCATCCCGAATACAGTCAATCCAGGATTTTGAGCATGGATCAATTTTTGTCACCGGAGACCATTGCGCGCTGGCCATGACTATTTGTCAGTGTGTCGAAGGACACCATTCACCGCCGGCGCCGAGGACACAAACCTGATGACCCACCCCGTGCCCCGGTTCGAAGATCCACTTTCCTTGAGCAGGCATGTCCAGTCATTCGCACCCTGATTGAACACGACCCGTTCCAGACTGGTCCTGTGTTGCGATGCAAGCTCGGGACCATCTCCCAGAGGAAAGTGTCCCTCTCCCTCTGCCACACTGCCATCCACCGAGCAGGACTCTCCCAGACAACTGTCTGATTGTGATGGACAATGCCAGCATCCACATGACAGGGGCTGTCCTGGACTGCGTCGAGCACCAAGCGGCCGTCGACAGGATGTGCAAGGCCGTCCTGAAGCACGCTTGAGGGAGAACGATGTGGTCATCGCCATTGGCAATGCGTCATGGTGTCAAGGCAAGGGCTATGCATCCAGCCCTCGGAGGTAGCGGTTTGCTCGGTACTTTGAGCAGTGCAGGTCGAATAGAGACCGGAGAGCGACCCAATGCCTCCACTCGGAGGTGATTTGTTGAATTGCATGTGGCTTTGTTGGGCACAAGCCGGTACATACTACATGTTCATGGAACCATGTGCGTTGTCCCGTTTCCCTGAATAAAGTGAGCCCCTCGAACGATGGCTGATGGTGTTCATGGTCACACTAGATGGACATGTATGTGCTTTGGGTCCTGGAAGCTTGCCACAGCCGAAAAGAGCCCTGGTCGCTCCTGTGCGAAACACCATGTTCTCTCGAGGCTCAATGTCCCAGAGGGTCAAGGAGGCCGTGGCAGCCGTTGTGCCAGCAAGAACAAAAGCCGCGCCCGAAACCTCCACCTCATCCCCTTTCCCAATCCGCTGTCTGTCCCAACAGCGTGCGCCGCTGCAGCTCCGGTCAAACCGCCCAAGGCCCAGCAAATCATGAATCGCTACAACCGTCCTGTCTCAAGGTCGGTTTCCATCAGCCCATGCCGCCAGATTCGATCCTTGCACCACCCGATCGATGTTGGGATTCCAGCCACGATCCAGTCACGTCAGCAGCGATTGTCAATCCTAAAGCCCTATGAGCGCCAGCTTTGCCTCCTAAAGTGCATCCTCTGAACTGATTTACTCAAACTGCGCTCTCTAGGCCAACGGGAAGTCGATATAATGATGACTTTGGCTATAGCATGGAGCACCAGAACGACGAGCAGGTCGATCTGCTCTCGCAAAAGACCAGTCAACTTCGAGAGGTGAGCCAAGAGATCTTGCTCGCAAAGGGCTGTTGAGGAGTATCATGGACATCTTCAGGCATATCGCCCGGAAACCACCAGGGAGAGGCAACCAGGACCGAGAACTGGACCAAAGTTGAGTGCGAATGGAGCGGCTCAGTCATCCAACCGGCCACTCCCACACATACCCTCAGATTACTTTGAGCCTCGGAGACGAGGTCCGCAACCAACAGGAAATGCTGCGTGGAATGGTAAGTCTTTCGGCCGAGTTGGATCCAAATGATAGAAAGCATCGCCCCAAGTTGGTCCATTCGATATGTTGCTTTGAGTGGTGCGCTTTCCCCGGCTGATGGTCGACCGATCGATACCCTTGGCTAGGAAACGCAATTCGGAGCGACAGGCGACCTCCTTGGCCAGTCGATGAAGCGCTTGCAGCAAATGGCCAAGACACAGACCGGGCGGTGGTTTCTCTATATGGTCCTCTTTGTGTTGGTTGTCGTGCTGTATGTATACTTCTTTCACATTAGAAAGTAGATATAAAATCACCAGCCGGACCCTCGAGTCCGCTCCTGTGACTGAAGTTATATATTTTTTGCGCACCACCCCACCGTCGAGCTGAACGTTCAAGAAAACGCACTCGGCCGTGGAGACCCGGGCGCATCAAGCATCGCTGGCGCAAGTCGGCATTCGCCACGCTCACGGGGGGTGTTCGTTGTCGGGCCTGGGCGGGAACCGAGCAAAGCGCCGGCTCGCCGAATCTGGCCGGCCCTGTGAGGGAGGACCTTGGCTTGAGACAGCATCTTGCTTGCCCAGAAGCGCACTCCAGAGAAGCCCATGGATAAGCCTCTTGAATCCGACCCACGCCTGCCTCAGGTATACTGCCTCCTGATTGCACCGACTCCTCAAATCCGGGCGATTCCGCCGGCCAAGGGAGTGCCCGGAGGCGGCTGCGATCCTGGCCTATCATCGGTCCATCGTAGATCTCATTCCCTCTTCCCCTGCCCTCATCGGCCAATCTCATTCTCCAGGCCGAAACACACCACACGTTTCGTCCATCGATGAAGCGACTCCGATCACAGGATGGCAGTGCTTGGCACACTGCTATCTCGCCTGATTCCAAACCACCGTCGAAGGAAGATTTCAAGAGGCGAAAGCGGTCGAGCCTTGCCGGTGACGAATGCAGCGCTCAAAAGCCCGCTGGGTTACCTGCCAATGGCGCTATCGAAGATGAAGACATAGCGGCTCAAGAAATCAACAGCGGCAGTGGTTCCATGGGGGACGACGACGACGACGACAGTCGACTGGGATCTGTCTCTTCAAATGGAGATCTTGATGACCTGAATTCTGGCGAGGACCCGCTACTGGATGGCTATGATTCGGATGCCTACGACTCGGATGACCTCGAGTCTCTGGCACTGGCTCTGAAACAGCGAGGACAGAGCTTGGGTGAGTTGATCTTGGCCCAGCCAGACGCAGGATCATGCTTTCGTTGTTGAGCCATTGCGGTTCCAAGTGCCGCTAGAAGTCAAGACAAGTCAGCCGCCACCTCCGCAAAATGCATGGGCCCTTTGATTCAGCCTATCCGGGGCGCTTGAGTGTCCCGGCAGATTCAGCCGGTCTTGGGGAGATGAGGCTCTGCTCTCCGATCGATTGGCGACAAGCTTCACTAACGAAGTACCTTGGGCCCCTTCTGATTCCGCCCAGATATTCTGCATATTCTTCTTGGGCTCTCACGACGACCCAAGCTTGCGCACATCAATACCATCGACGATGCCGTGCGGCTCATCAAAGAATCACACAACATTGTCGTTTTGACTGGAGCAGGCGTTTCGGTTTCATGTGGCATCCCGGATTTTCGATCAAAGAACGGTATCTACTCACGACTGGACGAATTCGAGCTTGAGGATCCCCAACAAATGTTTGATCTTGAATATTTCAAGTATCGGCCTGAAATTTTCTATTCATTTGCAAAGGTATCGCCATTCAAGGCATTCCACCGCATGCCCATCCTCTCTCATGAGATCCCGGCATAGGGACACGAGCAGATGCGGCAAGAAGAATGCACCGGCTCAGCAATCGATCATAACAGACCGGTTCTGTCGCCATCATCTCTAGGAAATCTTTCCCAGCAACTTCAGACCCTCGCCAAGCCACATGTTTGTGAAGCTACTTGAGGAAAAAAGGAAAGCTGTTGAGAAATTACACGCAAAACATCGACACGCTCGAGCAAGTTGCGCAAATTGGAAATGTGGTTCAGTGTCACGGTATGATGAGGGCTCCTGGATATCTGTTTGCTCAGGTGGCAAGGCGTCGCTCCAGTTGATTGTCCCGAAAATGCTTCTCTAAAGCCAAGGAAGGGACAACTTCCTCAGTCTCCACGCACCCACACAAAGAGCTCTGCATGGCACGATCTAAATATGTCTTCGACATCGTCACTCTAGGTTCGTTTGCCACAGCGTCATGTATCGTATGCAAGCATCAAGTTGACGGAAAGGCTATCAAGGATGATATTTTGGCCAAGGTACGGGAGCTGCGAAAGAACTACTGGTGCTTTGAGTAAATATCCGAGCGGTCACGAATTCTAATGATATGGCCCCTCTCCTCCACTGCCCAAGACGGTACCCTTGTGTCCCAAGTGCCCTGAGGAGGCCGACGGCATCATGAAACCTGATATTGTGTTTTTTGGTGAAAAGCTCCCGCAATCATTCGATGCTGCCTTTGCCGAGGACCGCGACAAGATTGATCTACTTATTGTCATGGATCCTCGCTCAAAGTTTCACCAGTGGCCAACGTGAAAGGTAGAGCACTAATCTACCGATGGCGAATACTGGCTGCCTCCATCCAGCGGAAGGTTCTTGGATGAACAGCAGTAGTCCTGGGTTTTTGACCTATATCTCCTTCAAATGCGCCACTAGACCACATCCCCCGGGATGTCCCGCAAATTTTGATCAACTTGGAGGCGCTCCCGCATATGGCCGGATTTTGACATCCAACTACTTGGATACTGTGACGTCATTGTACAAGAGCTCTGCCGGAGGCTCTCGTGGAGCCTTCCAGCCGCGCCACAGTCTCTAAGGGCGACTCGGTGTCAGCGGTCAACGAAGCGGCACCCGTCGTAGCCGCTCCGTTTACCTTCATCCCTCCCAACCGGTATCTCTTCGAAGGCGCGATTTCGGCCAAGCTGATTCAGACGCACAATTGGATTCCGATGAGCTGTCGCCACAACCCACAACTTTTGGTAGAACTGAGAGCCTCGGTGACTTTGTCCAACAGCAATATGCCGATCTAGACTCCACGTGTCCATAGCACCCACTGTATCTGCCAAATACCACGAGGAGAACTCCCAGCTCTTCTCCAGCAAGGTCGGTGCGCATTCGTTCTGTTTTTATGTGCGCTTGGTTCACCTCAAGAATAAATTTGAGAGCGCATCACCACAATCACTCGCAGAGTACCTTGGCATGTCTCTGAAGGGGAGCACATGTATATTGGGTCAGCCACTCTTGCACCACTCAGGAATGGCTCATCCATAGCTCATTGACGCCGCTTGTTATGGTCGTCTTGATTGGACTTGCTCTGGCGGTGTGGGGCCACTTGAATGAGCGAAGGAGCCTCATATGGCGGAGAGTGGAGGCATAGCCGTGGTTTCCAAGGGGTGGATGGTTACTGTGTGTGTATTGCACTCGTAATGAAACCGTGATGCCTCATTTCCCCCTGAATACAGTGTAACTTCCTCTTCCTCCACAAAACCACAGCGCCCGGGACCCAGTAAAGGAGAATCCAATACAGTTATCTATGGATGGCCATGGCGAGTGGCGGACAGATGCGTGTATTCCTGGTCCGGGACTGGAGTCACTGGCAGAGCGTATCTTGGTCGTCCCCGGGCTCGCTTTCAACAAACAATGACACCAGCTGGCCCAGAGTGGATGTCGGTGTTTGCGGATATCGCTTGCAGAGGATCACCAGAGCTATCCTTTCAAAGGGGTGCGTGGAAAGCCCTCTCGGTAATTCCTTTGAACCGTGGCCTGATATGCCAAGGTGGCTTCCAGCTCGACCATTCTTCAATTGGTTGAGAAGAGACCAGATGGCTTCCAGATCGCCTTTGAGGGGCCACCGGGCGAACGTCAAGTACAGGGCAAGATCCCTGGGGCTGGGGTAACCTGAAACAACCGGCAAATCTTCTTCAAAATCGCTCTGGATCATGGCCCGCAATGAATCGCCCAAAGCGTCCAACGCACATCGCGATGGAGGCGGCGCCTCGATATGCGATTGAGTGGCTGTGGCTCCGCTCGGCGGCTTGGCGTTATCGGTATCACGGGGTGGCGGCACAGGAGTTGAGATACTACACGATGCCCTGGCGCCGAGCGCTTTCGACCGCAACGATGTCCCTAAACTCCTCACGGAGCTGCTTCCGAAAATATGGCCAAAGTAGGACTCGAGCTCATGTCGAAGGGATCTTGCAAAGTGCTCGCGAACAGGGGCCGCTGAGTTTGATCGAGCGAGTCCTTGAATCTTCGGTTTCACCGACTGCCTTTCGTAGAAGGATAGAACGATGATTGCACTCCAGAGATTGGATAGACCAGTCGACCTTCGAAGATTGCGGACACCTTCGTATATCTCCAAGAATGATTGAATCATTTCCGGTTGATCATGCGCCAGACACT